TGTGTGTGTTTTTACTCACATGTGAACCGTAGCAAAAGAGGTCCATGCCCAACTCAAGTCCCATGCCATAATCGCATTCGTCATTGGCAAACTGCACAAAAGTCATCATTTCTTGAATGGGAGCAAAGGCTTTCAGCCGCTCCTCATCACTCGGTGCCTCAGCAATTGCCTTGCAAATTCTCTTGAGGTCGGCTGAAAGAAATCGGCGATACAAAGATGACCTGGGCCATGTGAAGGGTAAGCTGGGGTTCCCTCCCCTACGTGGCTGGGTTAGGTATCGATGGCAGGGCAGGGTAGTAATCCGCAGCCCGGCCATATGGATGGGAACTTTTGTCATCTTTCTCCTTAGGATTCCAGCATATATTGGCTATAAAGAGTGACGATTTTAATTATTTTTCAATAAAATTGCAGTGATTTTACATCAGGCTTTTAATGATTTTCAACTGGCTAAGACAGTGTTTGCGGCCAACCCTGGTTCACCCACACCCTGTTTCTGAACGTCCTTTAAGTATAGTTTTCTCATTTTTACGTGATTGAGAAAACACATGCACGCACATGGAAAAGACTCTATATGGCTTATAAAGGCTCTTGCTTACTCTCTGGGCCTGTCTAACAAGTGTGCTGACCTCGGGGCTCGGAATACACTGTAAATTCAGCAGACAATGCACTTTGTTTCCTCCTCTCTTGTACAATCAAATAAACACTGGTGCTTTATAAATTAAGACCAGAAAAAGAAAACGTTAGAGACAACGAGTCATTGTAGAATTAAACCCTTACCAAAGTGGAAGATGTGCAGCCCTGGGAAAAGTAAAACTGAACATTTCTAGTATTTATCGAAAGTAAGAGATGGTATTGTTTTGCTTCCAGTATTTTTTATTCAGTACTTCCAGGGGGCCAGGGGGCAGTTAGTCTTAGGGTGGGTGACGATGACGGTCAGAGCACCCAAAGAGCCTTTGTAACAAATCAGACTTCTCCAGATAATCCCCCAACACTGATAGATACTGAACACGCACATCAACACATTCCTAAGCAAGAAAGCTCTCAGGGAGGATTGGTTAAAACATTAAGCAACATACTGAGGAATGATATGTGACAAGGAGTTACATGGTTCTGATGCTAACTAAAGGATCGCAGTTTCTCTCCCCTGTGGTCTTCACACTGACTGGCTCATCAAGACCCTGAAGGGCAGAGTGAACTGCCCACAGAATTTCCCAGGCTGAAACCTTATTGGGAGCAGATCACCAGGCCTTTTCTAGAGCTGAGTGGCTGATGGGATCCAACCGCCAACGACGATGAGCAGTCAAGCACTCAACCACTGCATCACCAATACTATAATCAAGGGAGCACATAATGCTAGAGCTTTTAACCTCATACTACACGTGTGATTCAGTCATGGGGCCATAGCCACTGTGTGCTGTAAGCTTACAAGATGCGTTTTGTTCCCTTTCCCAACCTGAGTAGCTCATGGTCACATCAGATAAAGGACAACACCTATCACTGATGTTCCTGACTGTCCACAGTAGATACATATTTATTCATTTGAAACAAAGCAATTCAATGATTCTGTATTAGTTTCATGACCTTCCTCGCTCAGAAAAAACAGTGACAATCACTTCCAGAACACAGATCTTTTTCCTAGGGATGGAAAAGAAGGGACGCTGTGCAATTAATGTGCAGTTACTACTTCCTGGGACAGTGAACCTAACGCTGTCTTGCTGTGCCGCGTCTGCATCTTTTCATGTGAGTGAGAAACTGTTTTAGAAAGGTTTCGGCTTTTGCATGCCCCCCTCCTCTTTTTAAAAATAAAATAAATCATTTTACTGGAGGCTCTTACAGCTCTTATTACAATCCATTCATCAAGGTCAGTCCAGAGTGAAGTTGCAAAAAAACCCAAAACAACCCATTCATCAATGTCTTGTACTATTTGTTTTTGCGCCCTGCCCCTTGTCGGTCAGTGTGTCAGTGTGGTGGCTTGTGTTTTGCGGTGATGCTGGAAGCACTTACGGATGAAGACCAAAGACTACAGTCTGCAGACGTCATCTCTGGATGACACCTCAACCACTGGACCAATACACAACATCTTGAAAGACGGAGGAAAGATTGAAATTGTCAAAAAATCCCATTTTGTTTGGGTTTACAACCCATGCCCATGGAAGCGCGGTCAGGAAATCAAATGATACACTGCACTGGGAAATCCTGCTGCAAAAGGACTCTGTACAGGGTTCAAATGCAAAGAGGTCACCTCAAGGACTTAGGTGTCCCTCTCCGAAGGCCTGGCCTTTGTAATGGCTTCAGGTGCGTGTGACAGCTGGACAATGCATCAGGAAGAGCAGAGACGAGCGGATGTCTCTGAACTAGTGTTGGTGACAAACACCGAATACACACGCCACACACTGCCTGCTGACAAAATGAAGGAACCTGTGTTGGAAAGACAGCTGCAGTGCTGCGTAGGAGCATTCTAAAAATAATTTATCTATAGACTTTGCCTCCTGTACCTTAGGACATGAGATGAGGCGGGACTAGACCCTGGGAACGACGTCATGCTTGATCAATGAGTGACAAATAAGGAGGAGGATTCTCAACGAGACGGCCAACATCGGCTACAATCATGAGCTCAGGCAGCAGCGATTGTGAGGAGTGTGCAGAACCAGGCAGTATTTCATCCTGGTCGCCCCCCTGACACCTAACTATACCAACAGTTTTGCTTCTGCTAAGTGACATACACACTAGAAAAGAGTAAGCGACGCTGGAGAATTTCTAAGCTAAAAACAGTAACAACCAACATAGAAGAACACAAATAAAATGCTCAGTTCATCGGTGTGAAGAAAAACATGCTCTTCTGCCAACAGAACACTTCACAGAAATTTCACACAATTCCTACAAGACTTGAAGCGTAATGTCTGAATCAATCTTGTATTAACGAAAGCCTGTCTTACATCTTGCTGCTCAAACCCCTCAATTTCATGATTTCCTACTCTGATGCTACTGGATTGCTGAAGCGAAGTCAGAGGAGCAGTATTTAGCCACGCATGAAGCGACCCTTGTCAGTTTGGGGATCGGGTCTGGTGGCACACGCTGAAGCAGGGCTGCTAACCAGAGGCTGCCCGTGGGATAGACCTGCTGATAAGGACGACAGCCAAGAAAACTCTCCTCTGCCACCCGAGGGCTCCACGCATCACCTTGTCATGCCACCCTCAGGCGGGAAGGTCCTCGCTTGAGACCCAGCTTCTCTATTCACTACCTGGAGACCTCTCTGAAGGAGTCCTGGTGGTAGAGTTGTTAAGCACTGGGCTGTTAACAGCAAGGTTAGCAGTTCGAAATCACCAGTTGCTTCTCAGGAAAGAGATGAGATATTTTACTCCCATAGAATTAGTCTGGGAAACTTACCAGGGGAGCTCTACCCTGTCTTATTGGGTTGCCATGTGTCAGAAGTGACCCCATGGCAGTGCGGGAGAACTTTCTGAAAAGGAGTCCTGGTGTAGTGGGTGACTGCTCCTTGGGCGAAAGGAGCATGAAGGCTTACAGGCTCAGAAACCCACAAGGACAGTTCTACTCTGTCATCTAGAATTGCAGTGAGTCGGAACTGACTGGAAGACAGTGGGTTTGTTTGAGACCATTCTGAATCGATTTCCATCCTGTAAAACTTAGTTTAAAAAGTCGGGTGACTGAAAAATTGCTCAGTAAGTTATATCTTACATGCCAAGTTAGAAAGTTGTTCTAGGAAATTTCACAGGGGAAACTTATTTGGAATAAACTTAGTTATGGGAAAGATGTGATACGAACTCAGGCAGTGCTTAGAGGTCTGGAAAAAAAAATCAATAGCAAAACAACTATAATAACCGAAATGATTTTAAAAGTGTATTCACAGCATCACAGACACAGTTGTTTTATTTCAGGCCAGATTGGTTCGCTCTCCAACCTGAGCTTGTGCCTTATCTCTAAGGTCTCACAAGGGGCCTGTGTGCAGACGGGCTTCCCACCAATGAGGAGAACCTTCTTGTACATAGACATGCTCAAATACACGTGTCTTCATAAGAAATACGTTACCATCTGTCTCAGGGAGCTCTCTGTACCCAACATCATTTTTATCTACTGGAACAACCAAGCCTGCACCATGAAAGGTCTTCGTCACAACCTAAGGATAAAAAGAAAAAAGCCTAGAAGATTTAATCATGCTTAAAAAAAAAAATTCTGTTCGGTGACATACTATGTAAGTAAATTTGGACAAGAGAGTAACAGCTTAGTTTTTCCATTCAAGCCCTAGAGGAATTTACAAAGTAGTAAACTGATCTGCATCCTGCCTGTTAAGAGTGCATTAGCAGACACCAGCCACAACACCGCTCTGTCGGTGCCCCATGCAGGGGCCTAGAAGCCTGGGGGTGAGAAGCAGCCGGCAGGAACAAACAGCTTCTATGAGCAGGAAGGTGTGGGAGAACC